AGGCCTATACATTGAATTAAGTTCACTCAATGACAACAAAATAATGAGGTGGTTGTGCAGCTAGGAGACCAGCAACGGGAACTCACTTCTTATTGCTATGACCGGAGGAAACGGCGGCGCTTAGATACACCTGCGCTTTGTGAGCACAGACGGGCTTTTCTGTGCAGATGAGTAACGGTCGATCCAGCCCTCTTTGTTATAATGTTGAGTTTTAGTGTGTGATGGACTTTGGATCTAGATTACAATTAACAAAGTGAGTTGGCGAGAGTGAAGCAGATCCCCTGGAGCAGGACGGGGAAACATAAGGCCTGGGGGCCAGAATCGGCCCAGCAAAGACTGAAGCAAAGACTGAATGGCTTTGAACAATGTGAAGGAAATTTTGAACTAAACTTTAAATTTATGTTTTACCGCTTTTCCTACTGATAAAGACCTCTCCCATGTCCATCCATACTACACCAGAGTAATTAAATAATAGATAAACAAGAAAAGCTCTTTTTTGCTTTTGCGTAGGGTATTTTTTGCAATTGTAATAATAATATTAATAACTAAAATTATTTTTAAAAATCTGACATTTCCTTTGAATTAGCAAAGATTATGGGACAGTCTAGAAAACTTTTCTGTAATTTTACATATTTACTTATCACAATTTAAGCCCAAAGACTTGTGTTGACAACCTGCTCACATTTACAACAGCAGCATTTTTACCATGAAGAAAAACTGAGACATACTGTTGGGTTTTTTGTTCTATTAAGATATAGGAAGGAATAAATGTGGCTATATAAATAGTGAAATGTAAAAATGGACTGTATGTGTCCAAGAATGTAAAATGAGTTTGACATCCACGCTCTGATGTTATCATTTGTTGTTGAATTCCCCCAAGACCGTTATCCATTCAGTAATCCTGAAACCAGTTCTCTCATCAAGTTACGGTCAGAAATCAGTCAGCAAGTTGCAAAGCTTGATGACTGATTTATGACACAAATTTGGAGTTTTTGTCAGTTGGAGTATAAATATTTTCAGGTTTGTGCATATTAGCATAAAGTTTGGTGCTTTTGTGGCCACTGTGCGCGGCTGGCAGTCCTTAAAGTGAGAGTGTATAACATTTGAGAGAAGAATGAACACATTAATAATAATAATAATAATAATAATAATAATA